GAAAAATCAGAACATCTATTTATATTTACCTTTTCTCATCCTTTTACATTTTGAGTGTTTGATGGGTGCAGTGTGTGTGTGTGTGTGCATGTGTCTGTGTGTCCATGTGTGATTTAAAAAAAAAAAAAATACAGGGGCTCCTAGGTGGCTCAGTTGGTTAAGCATCTGATTTGGGCTCAGGTCATAATTTCAGGGTCCTGGGATTGAACCCTGCAATGGGCTCCCTGCTCAGCAGTGGCTCTGCTTCTCCCTCTTCCTCTGCCCTCCCCGCCAGCTCATCCTCTCTCAAATAAATAAATAAAATCTTTTAAAAAATGAAAAATACATATGTTGCATGCATATTAACAATTTTTATTGATGGAATACACAATCAAAAAATGTGAAGACCGGGGCGCCTGGGTGGCTCAGTGGGTTAAGCCGCTGCCTTCGGCTCAGGTCATGATCCCAGGTCCTGGGTTCGAGCCCCACATCGGGCTTTCTGCTCAGCAGGGAGCCTGCTTCCTCCTCTCTCTCTGCCTGCTTCTCTGCCTACTTGTGATTTCTCTCTGTCAAATAAATAAATAAAATCTTTAAAAAAAAATGTGAAGACCTAGGCAATAAGCTGCCATTGAAGGGTTTTGTTTTTTTTTTTAAGGTAATAGTATCAGATCTGCATTTTAGGGAGACAACACTGAGGTACATATAGATGATACAGGGAAAAGGAGAAATTTTTTCAGCTTTATTGAGATACTGACTTATATTAAGGTTAAGGTGCTCAATTTTTGATGATCTGATACATGTATTTAGTACAGGTAGTTAACAGTTCTATCCCCTTACATAACTACCTTTGTGTGTGTGTGTGTGTGTGTGTGTGTGTGTGTAGTGATAACATTTAAGATCTACTATTAACAATTTTTAATTGTATAACACACTGTTGTTACTTAGAGTCACCATACTATACACTAGATCCCCAGAATTTATTCATCCTATAACTGGGAGTTTGTACCCTTTGACATCTCCTCTATTTTCCTTACTGCCCCAGTCCCTAGCAACCATCATTCTATTTCTAGGAGTTCAATTTTTTTTAGATCCTGAACATATATGATATAGTATTTTTCTTTCTCTGCTTAACTTATTTCATTTAGTATAATGCCCTCAAGGTCTATCCACGTTGTAAGAAAAGGCAAAATTTCCTTCTTTTATGGCTAAATAATATTCCATATTCTTCCATATTCATATTCCATATTCATTTCCATATCCCATATATAAATATATATATATATATGTGATAGATGGATATCTCTCACATTTTCTTTATCCAGTCATCCGTTGATAAACCCTTAGATTATTTCTAGATCTTGGTTATTGTGAATAATGCTGCAAAACAAAACAAAACAAAAAGCTGTAATGAACATGGGGATGTAGATATCTCTTTGAGATAGTGTTTTCACTTTCTTGAGATATATACCTAGAAGTGAGATTTCTGGATCATATGGTAGCTTTGTTTTTAATTTTTTAAGGAATCTCCATACTGTTTTCCACAAACTGGCTGTACCAGTTTGCATTCCCACCACCAACGGTGCTTGAGGGTTCCTTTTATCTCCAATCCTCACCAACACTATCTCTTGTCTTCTTGGTGATAGCCATTCTAGTCAATGTGAGGTGGTATCTTATTGTGGTTTTGATTTACATTTCTTCAATGATCAGTGATGTTGGGCATCTTTTCATGTACCTGTTGGCAATTTACATGTCTTCTCTGGTAAAATGTCTACTCAAGTCCTTTGTCCATTTTTTAATCCTGGGTGCGCAGTCAGTGGAGAATCTGACTCTATATCCGACTCTTGATTTTGGCTCCAGTGGTGATCTCAGAGTCCTGGGATCAGGCCCTGCACTGGGTGTGGAGCCTGCTTGGGATTCTCTCTCTCCCTCTGCCCCTCCCTGCTGCACTCATGTGCTCTTGCTCATTCTCTCTCAAATAAATAAATAAATAAATCTTTTATTAAAAAATCCTCTTTGTAATATTACAAAACAAAACAAAAGTACTTTCTCTGGGTGTAGAATCAATGACAATGCAGTAGCAAGAAATATATCCAGCACCATCCTGGTTTCTAACATCATGCATTCTGGAGAAATGGCAGGAGCAGAGGCTATATGGGCTGAGCCTAGAACATCTTATTATATCAGAAAGTAAGGTAGAGCTCAAAAAAACACAGCAAGAGAGGCATGTAAAAGGGACACAGGAACCAACTGAAAGATTTTCTAATCACCAAGCTGGAACAATTTGAGCAACAAAATAAACAATATAGTGTTGGATTATAACCCAAGCACAAAATAACCATGGGCCCATAATAATATAAACAAATACTTGAATGAATCAGTAAATAATGGAGAACAGAAAAACCTCCCATACAAAGGATTCTGTCCCTCAAATACCTGGGAGAGTAACTCCCCTACCCCTTAAGTGTAAGCTGCGCTACTGACTTCATCCAAAGAGAAAAGTATAGAAAAAGAGGGGAGAAAAAAGAGTGACTTTATAGGGTGAAAAACGTGAAAATACTATCTCAGGTATGTGGTGAAGCTTAACATCACCAGTGATAATCATTAGAGATAAGTAATATCGACAGCACATTCCCTTGAAATTATATGAGCATGGCACTTTGCCTCTGCAGTCTTTCTCCCCAAAAAACCATGACCCCAATTCAATTATAAGAAAAACATCAAACAAACCCAAATTGAGAGACCTTCTACAAAACCTACCAATACTCTACAGAATTGCCAAGGTCAGCAAAAACAAGGAAAGTCTGAGAAACTGTCAGTCTACTGGAGCCTAAGAAGACACAAAGACTATATGTACTGTGTCATCCTGAATGGGATCTTAGGACACAAAAAGAACATTAGGTAAAAACTAAAGAAATCTAAATAAAGTATGAACTTCAGTTAATAATAACCTATCAAGGGACACCTGGGTGGCTCAGTTGGTTAAGCTGCTGCCTTCGGCTCAGGTCATGATCCCAGAGTCCTGGGATCGAGTCCCACATCTGGCTCCTTGCTCAGCGGGGAGCCTTCTTCTCCCTCTGCCTCTGCCTGCCACTCTGTCTGCCTGTGCTCACTCTCTCTGACAAATAAATAAAATATTTAAAAAATAATAATAATAATAATAATAACCTATCAATACTAGCTAATCATTTGTGACCAATGTATCATACTATTGTAAGATCTTAACAGGTTAAATCAGGTAAAGGGTAGGGAGAACTCACTGTACTATCTCAGCAACTTTCACATAAATCTAAAACTCTTAAAACAAAAAGTGTATTAAAAGAAAAAAAGGATCTCTTCCAGTTTGAAATCTTTTCAAATCTGTTAGAATCTTTATTCCCTGGTCCAAGTCTTCTATAAATTTGCTATTCATAATGTGGTCACCTGTGAGTTTCTTAGCAATACAGAATCTCAGGCCCATCCCAGATGTATTAGAGTTCTCCAAAGAAACAGAACCAAAAGAATGAGAGAGAGACAGAGAGAGAGAGAGAGAGTGTGTGTGTATATATAAAGTTATATAAGGAATTGCTCATACAATTATGATGGCTGGAAAGTCAAATCTGCAGTGTGATGGAGTAGCCCAGAGACTCAGGAGAGCACATGGCTGCAAATGAAGGCTAAAGGCAGTCCTCTGGACAACTCCCCCTTAGTTGGGAAGGAGGTCTTTTGTTCTATTCAAGCCTTAGATTGAGTAAACTCAACCCATGCTATGGAAGAGTTCACCAGTTTAAATGTTAATCTCATCCAAACACACCCTCCAGGTTGACATGTAAAACTAACTGTCCCCCCAGACCTGATAAATCCGAATCTGCATTTTAAAAAGATCTGCCGGGTGATTTCACCCATTTTCAAGTTTAAGTGGCATTGCTGTAGAATACTTCTAAAGGGCCAGAATTCCCCCCACCCCCTTAAAGAACTGTAAATATTCATGGTAAATTCACTAACTCAGAAACATGGCTTGATTTGTTGTTATTTTAACTTGATAACTCTCCTAGCATTTATTGATTCAGGGAAGCAAGGGATGCCTTCAGAAATCCCCACCCTCTGTGCTGGGTGACAGTAACCCACCCATTTGTTCCCATGTGGACCTCACCAAGCTTCTGACCTTTTTTTTTTTTTTTTTTTTTATTACTGTCCCGTGAGTCTTCCTGACTGCAGTGAGCTCCCCAAGGGCACCTACCACATCTTATTTTTCCTATCTCCAGGTCGCCATTACTCACGATAAAGCCAAACTGAAGCCTGCGGTCAGGACTGCAGGCCCGCATCTGTCCCATTCCCACCGCCCCATTCCCCAACCCTCCCCCCGCCAAGACAGACTGGCCCATTTTCCTTTCTCAGTCAGCATATGCCAGAAGTTATTATTCGAACCAGACCTAGGGGGACATTACACACACAAATTAGAGGACTCTGTAGGTTGAAGCATATGAAAGTGACAGTACTGGCTTTCTTTTTTGACCCACAAAATAAGCCATTTCCTAGGACTGAACAGTATGTTTCCATTTAGTGTTTTTCCTTCGCAAAAACTACGTGAACAATATGCTGTCACGGTTAGATAATACCAGGATTGCTAATATCCACGACAGTTTACCATTGATAAATTAACGTAAAATACACACCATCTACTTCCCAATTTCGACTCGAGCCCTCCCCTTAATTCTACGGGATTCAAGTCCTCGCAGCCGCCTCCACGGTCCCACTCATCCCGGAGGGGCAGCCCCTACGCTTTACAAGGGAGCACAAGAGGGGAGAGCGTTGCTCCTCAGAACGACGGCGATCTAGCATGCCCAGAACCCAAGGGGCGAGGTAAGTCAACTCCCACCACGCCCCACCAGGCCGCAACGCCCGGAATTCTGCCTTCCCCCGCCCACCCCCTCCACAGTTGCCCGAACCTAAGATGGCGGCGGGGGCGGAGTCGCTGCGGCCGCCTCTGGGCGGGACCGCGGGGACAGAACGCAGCGGAGAGGCGGTGCAAGCGCCGCCAGCCCGCCCCGCCAGCGCGGCCCCGGCCTTTGGCTGTCGGGCCCCGGCTCTCCTTTCTGCCGGTGTCGCGCTCCTGCTTCCCGGAGGCGTCATGAGGTCCCCGATTCGGGGCCTGGCCTCGAGCGATGGCGAGGAAGGTTCAGATAGGACGCCCCTCTTGCAGAGCACTCTGCGGGTGGAAGCCGGTGAGCCTCGGAGCTGTCCCAGGGCGGGGGTGGCCAGGATACCCGCGGTTTGCCAATGGGACCAGGGCTGCTTAAGCGTGAGGGGTCTTGAGGAAGGGAACTCGAGGAGGGGGAGTCCGTTCAGCGCCCCGCTTAGCCCCCGCCTGCCCCGGTACCCAAACGCCGCTCTGGGGTCGGGAGGGGACCGGGAGGCCGGGCCGGACTGGAGGCTCAGGTGGGGCCTCGGCAGGTGCAGCTCCGCGGGGTCTGGGAGGGAGATGCTGGGCGCCGCGGGCGCTGGGCTCCCGGCAATTCTCGATAATATCGAGCGGAGGACCCCGTGCAAGAATGTATTGCAGTAGAACCTGTAAATCAATGGCTAAAGGGCCGGGCGGAAGACCCGGAGTAAGAGCAGACTGGGAGAGAAACCTGCAGATCGGTGGGCAAAGGGCTGGACGGAGCTGGTAGCTCTTTCTCCCTGTCACCGCCGCCAGTTTCCGCAGCTGCCGTCCGCAGGCTGGAAATCTGGTAGCCCCTTGGGCGAGAGCTGAAACCGAAGAGGACGGAGGTCAACATTTGTGCGTCTGTGAAGGAAAACTATTGCATAAGGCAGCGAGTATCCTGAATTATTTTCCATATGGTAGTCTACGGTGACGTCGTAGCAGTCTACGATTCAAGTCAGAAAACAGTTATCTTCAAGATAGAATAGCTATAAAGCTTTAAGATGATTTGCCAGAGGTCTTGCCACAAATAGAAAAGGAAGTACTTCACAACGTATCTTCCCCGAATTTGGAGAAATTAAGATATATTTCCATTTAGTACTTTAACAAATGGAACTTCTTTATTTTTTTTAAAGATTTTCTTTATTTACTTGACAGAGAGAGATCACAAGTAGACGGAGAGGCAGGCAGAGAGAGAGAGAGAGGGAAGCAGGCTCCCTGCTGAGCAGAGAGCCCGATGGGGGACTCGATCCCAGGGACCTGAGATCATGACCTGAGCCGAAGGCAGCAGCTTAACCCACTGAGCCACCCAGGCGCCCTGGAACTTCTTTAAAAGTAATTAAAACTAAAGAACAAATCCGTCTGCATGAGAAACAGAGTTGAATTAGAAATTTGACTTTTCCTTACCCAAGAACAGGATCGTCCTGTGGTATCTTTTTTTATTTGTTTTTCACATTACCAGATGGTGGCAGTAGATGGGACAACGTAAGTTCTCCATCCGGCAGCCTGGGAACTTATTTTAGAGGACGCGCAGTGTAAATACTGTAAATACGTTCCACCTGGAAGTTGGACTTAGTTCCATAAACTGAGCTTTTTTCTGTGGCATACAGTTAGATTTCTAAAATCTTCTTCTGTAAAATAATCTAGTATGGAAATACAAAAAAAAAAAAATGCCATAATCAAAATATTCCCTGGGGACTACTATATTCTGTTGCAGTTGAGAAAATACATATAGCTGTACCTTATCTACGCCTAAGTGTATAGTTTTGATTTTCAGGAAGGAAAGGCTGATAAAATGTTGGTCGTAATATTTTCCAGTAGTAAAAAGACCTTAGAAACTAACCACCATCTGGTGGTGCATCATTTTATACATAGACAACCAGGGGCCGCAGAGGTTACATCCCCGAGTTTGTATGTGGCCACATTTGTGTTATAGTTGAGAAATTCCTGTTTGAAAAGCACTTAATCGTTTTTACTTGATCTGTTACAAATTTGAGAGTTCCCCATTGCACCATGCATACGAGGATATGGTTTTAAATTATACATAGTGTTTCTTTACTAAGAGAGCTAAAATTAAGATGTTTCCTTAGTGTTAAGAATTAATGCCCCTCAGGCTGACATAATATGATGGAATTTTCAGTAACCCAACTATGGTTTGCCCCTCGAGAATGTGCTTTTACTCAGCCTGGTGGGTTTCAGACATGCGCACCAAAATGATGGGGGAAGGGAGGCTCAACACTGATGAACAATAGGAAGTGTATAGATATTTCTATATCTATATAAAATATAGATATATATCTATATAAAATACAGATATATATCTATATATATATCTATAAGTGTATACCTAATTTAGGTAGGAAGAAGGGAGGGAACTAAGCAAGGAAGAGCAAAGCGTCCCCACCCATGCATAAAAATTCTTCATTCCTTATACTTTGTACCAGGTGAACATTTACTTTTGTATGAATGACATGCGTCTTGTATTTGATCAAGTGTATTTTCAAAATACTGTTGCTCCAAGAATGTGCTCATTTGTGTTAGGAAAAATTCAGTTTTAGGCTTCTAAAATATTTCTTTGTGTTTAAAGACAAAGCATAGATTTGGAGCCAGAGTCCTTTACTGCCAAACCCACCTCTACTAACTAGGTGTGTGAGCTTTAGCAATTACCTAAGCTCTCTATGGTTTCTTTATCAATAAATCAGGGAAAATAATATACCTAACTTACAGGGTTATTGTGAGGGTTAAATGAGGTAATAGGAAGTGCTTAGAAGAGTTTGGCATATAGTAAATGTTAGTTACTATTACTATTATTATTATCACTAATATCAACGAAGACCATTTGGATTTTGCATTCCTCGGAGAAGCTGGACACAGCAAAATGTTGTCCCCATTCTTCATGGTCTCACTGTGTTGGAACTTGTGATTTCTAGCTTGTAATATAGGTCATTCTGTGCTTTCTTTTCATTGATGGGGGAGAGGTGTTTAGTTTGTTTTGGGTTTTGCCTCTACTATTCTGTTGGGGGTTACATTCAGGATTTAGTTATATGAACATTGAGTTTCACAAATATACTTCTTGTGTGAATATAGTCTTAAATATAAGATATGGAGTGCTGGTAGAGAGCAACTATATTACAGAACAAACGCTAATGGCCTTAGATCATTGGATCATTGGGTCATGTTATGATAACCAGTAGTAACTGGATCCATTTTAATGGAATTTGGTGTTTTCACATAAACAGGTATTAATTTGGGAGCTAAGAATACATAAGGATTTATCAGGAATTAATGACCCATAAGGAAGAGTAAGACAGTTGAATATTACCATTTTAAACACAAAGCATATTGTATTCATGTTAGATAGGAAATCTTTTTTCTTTTTTAAGTTTTTTTTTTTTTTTTTAAGTAATCTCTATGCCAACATGGGGCTCGAACTCACAACCCCAAGATCAGGAGTCACATGCTATACCAACTCAGCCAGCCAGGCGCCCCAATAGGAAATCTTTTTTAATGCAATTCCTGGGCTGGGGTGTGGCTCACTATGTCCAGTGCCCACCCTCCTCTAGGAAAAATCACCCATCTGTGTGGGTCAGAGCTCCTAACCATGGATTTCCAGTCTCATCCTCTCATTATTCGGTACTCTTTCCTTCTCCTCACTGCCAAAGCCTTCCACAATGAGTAAAAATGCCCAGAATTCTAGGGTTTTTTTCCAGCCTTCCCTCCACCCACATCCCTGCTTCAACAGAAACCTGGTCTTCTGGGCATATCATTCTCACTCCTCACTGTTGCCTCAAGGGGTTATTATTTTCTCTTTTCATGTGCTAATTGATGAGATTGACTCTTCCTTATTCCACATGGATGATGCTTCCAGACAATTACCCCTCCATTCTCAAAGCCTGGTGACTTCCTACTCATGGATGAAGACTCAGTATAAATGTTCTTTCTCCAAGAGGCCTTCCCTGAGCCTGAGCCCGAGCCCCTCCCCCACCCCCACACATACACACGGACAGTTTAATGTGACTCTTTTGCCCCTTGTTACACACATATATTATAGCACTTTATCTTACTGGTATAACTTTCTCCAGGGTGAACAGGAAAGGAATTCACTTGTGCTGAGTGCTTGCCATAACTGCCTGAAAGTATTTCATTTAATCTACACACAACCGAGTAAGGTGGTTATTGTTTGCCTCATTCTAGAGCCAAGAAACCTGAGAATGAAAACTATTTTTTTAAGATTTTATTTATATATTTATTTGAGGGAGAAAGAGAAGATGTGAGTGGGGGGAAGAGCAGAGGGAGAGGGAAAAGCAGATTTTGTGCTGAGCAGGGAGCCCAGCGAAGGGCTCCATCCCAGGACCCCGAGATCATGACCTGAGCCGAAACCAAGAGCAGGACGGAAGATCAACCACTGAGCCACCCAGGTGCCCTGAGAATGAAAACGATTAAGTAACTTCCCCCAAAGACACACGACCGGTGAGATTCAGGACTGAGATTCATCCCCAGGTCTGCTTCTCTCTAAATTAGCCTGTGTTCTTTCAACTACACCCACTCCACATTCCTCAATTTAAACCATCGTTTAGAAACTGATGTTTGTTTTGATGGGTGCTCTGTTCGTTTCGCAAGCATGATTTTGCTTTCAACCAGACTTCAGTGTGACGGATGCTTGAGGATGTTTTCTCTCTTCATAATGCAAGCATTCTTTTGTTGGACCAATTTCAAACATTATCCAGATTCACAGGCACATTTTGTCTTATCACCATGCTTTCTTGAAAAAAATTTTTCTGACTGATACGTAAGTAACAGCCATTTGTATAAAGTAGTGACCAAATATTTGTAATATTTCTTACAACCTCATAGCTTTGTGACATCTATGTTGGCTTTTTATTTTCTGATTATTGATTCTGCCCCAGAAAGTCATAGTTGCCTGATCCATAACTTGTAGGTCAGTTTATCAAGTAATATCAGGCCGCTTGCCCCACATCTTCATAGGGTATGCACTCATGGCCCAAATCAAGCATCACATGGGGAGAAGCTGAAAACAGTAAAATAAGGTAACTGCAAATAGGATAGAGAGCAGTAATAACATTACATCAGAATGGCATAAAATAATGTTGTCTAGACTAATTAGTGAATTGAGGTACTAGTAACTTCATCCCTCCCTTTCACTTACTCCCACATCTAATATGTAGGCAAGGCCTGTCAATTCTGTTTTTAAATTTATCTCATATCTGCCCATTTCTGGGGTGCCTGGATGGCTCAGTCAGTTAAGCACCTGACACTTGATTTCAGCTCATATCATGATCTCATGGGGTCTGGACTGAGCCCCAGGGCTCCTCCTCGCTCAGCAGAGAGTCTGCTTGAGGATTTCTCTTTCCCTCTCTGCTCCTCCCCCAACACACCTGCTCGCATGCTCTCTCTTTCTCTCTCTCAAGGAAAAAAAACAAATCTTAAAAAATGAATCTGCCCATTCTGCTTATTGCCTCTGCTTTATCCTACTTTCAACCACCTTCATCTCTTCCCAGGAAAACAACAGTCTCATAAATGATCTTTCTGAATCTATTTCTTCCACCACCATTCGCACTCCTCCCCCTTTGTAATCTTCACACTGGCAACCCCGAGAAGCTCTTGAAACTGTAAATTACCAACTGTTGTTCTCTGCTGAAAGACATAATGAACTTTGTCAATAGTACCTTGGCAAAGCAGACAGTATATATATCTGGAATGATCTTGTTCCAAGTTACTCCAAATAACACTATGGTGGCCTAATTTGGCAAGATTATGAGTCCGCCAGACTTCTAAGTATTACTGTCCCACACAGAGCAGATGATAAAGAAAATGTGCCTTACACTATCCAAAAGTCTTTTACCTAGACAGCGGCCCATTTGGTTAGAGCAGAGAGCAAATGTATCTAGATTCAGGTAACAGAGACAGCATAAATGGAGCCTTAGAAATATAGTTCTCTGGACACCTGGGTGGCTCCGTCGGTTAAGTGTCTGCCTTTGGCTCAGGTCATGATCCCTTGGTCCTGGGATGGAGTCCCACATTGGGCTCCCTGCTTGGTGAGGAGTCTGCTTCTCCCTCCCCTGTTCCCCCTGCTTGTGCTCTCTTTGTCAAATAAATAAATAAATCTTTTTTTTTAAAGTTTTAAAAAATTAAAAATAAAAGAAATACAGTTCTCATAGGTCAAGATCTCACTTTGGCAGTGGTGCCATAATTCTAATAGCTGTACTCCTCCAAAAGGAGTTGAGAATGCCAAATGAAAAATTCTCTGATAAATGATGTAATTCCTACACAGAGGAAAAACTGACTGCAGTTGTTAAATGTGTGAGGGCTTCTAGGGGCGCCTGGGTGGCTCAGATGGTTAAGCATCTGCCTTCGGCTCAGATTATGATCCCAAGGTCCTGGGATCGAGCCCCTCGTCAGGCTCCCTGCTAGGCCAGGAGCCTGCATCTCCCTCTCTTTCTACTGCTCCCCCTGCTTGTGCTCTCTTGCTCTCTTTGTCATAAATTATGGTACCCTATTTGTGGTAAATAAAAATTTTTTTTATAAAATTATTTTTTAAAAAAAGTGTGTGAGGGCTTCTAGAAAAGTGAAGTGGATCATAATACATTAATATATCCCTTAGTAGAGTTGTGCCATATTCATTAAACTTCAGTCTGAATCAGTACTAAGATCTCTGTACTCGGAAAAATGTCCTGTTGCTTGAGGTTGGGTCAGTGCAACACCAGGATTCCTGAGTAGGAGAAAAAACATAAACATATGGAGTGTTAGTAGGTCATTACTAAACAAGAGCATACATATATTCATGTATATGTATTTAACTCCAGGTTGTCATTACCAAGTAAAATAGACGTTTGTATCTTTTGACAGCTGTTTATCAGACACTCAGTGTTTGCCCTGCACTGGTGTAAAACCTTGGATTAGCCGCTCTCTCTCTGTCACTAAGGGATCACTCAACCTTAACTTCCTAAATTCCTGTCCCCTCTCCAATGCTACACCTCAGCAAAGGAAGAAAAAGACAAACTAATGTGCATACGCCCCTAATTAAGGTAAAAAAAAAAAAATAGATCAAAACTCCTCCTCTTGCATGATCTTTCTTTCATTGGTTCCTTCAACCAATTCCGCCTTCCTCTTTTTTTTTTTTTAATCTTTGTGTTTCGTTCACTTACTTCCTTTTTTAATGTGGGCCCTTTAAGCATGTTCAACTGAGCAACTGTCACAGATGCTGCAACTGTCATAGATTCTGCAAGTTTGCTTCTGGATTCTTAAATACATTTAGATTAGGAGGGTCTTAAATACTAATCATGGCTTCTGATTCAAACCCAGCCTCCGAGGATACTTTTCAAGGTAAGAAATTTATCAAGAGGGGTTTCATGTGAGCCTTGGCAAGAAACTTTTTGTGCTGGGCTTCAATTACAGTGAGATGGCTACTCACCCATAGTCCCCACTATCAGTGCTTTGCTGTAATGAGTACTCTATACTGACTGGCCATGTTTTAGATGGTTTTTCAGAAATAATGATGCTATTAAACCCCTTAACTATTTTTCTTGAATCTTTGTCAACCAGCAGGGATTAGGGATTCAGTTTTGACTCTGTAATGGAGTTTTCTTTTCTTTTCGTTTAGAGAGAGTGCAGGAACACATGTGCATACATGCGGGGGGAGGGGAACAAGGGGAGGGGGAGGGGCAGAGGGAGAGGGAGAGAGAGAGAGAATCTCAAGCAGGCTTAGCACTGGGGGCTCAGTCTCACAATCCTGAGATCATGACCTGAGCCAAAATCAAGAGGCAGATGCTTAACCCACTGAGCCACTCAGGCACCTATGTAATGGAGATTTTTCTGAGCAAAGTTGATAAAGCTGTTGCCTTCATGTTTTAAGAAACTGTCTTATAGTTCAGGCTCTCATGTGTAAATGCTTATCAAAATTACAGCTACCGAAAACAAACTCTCTTTGATAAATGTTTTTAGTTATGCTTAATCTGAAAATAGCCCCAGAAGAATATTCATGGTTTATTAATTTGTGTACTTCTAAAAAGTACCCTTTTTAGTAATTTAGACAATATCATCTAAATTATTCTTCTAGTGAAAGTTGTCTCCCAATGTTTATTTCAGCTCCAGTGTGCTGCTCTGCTCGCTACAACTTAGCACTTTTGGCTTTTTTTGGTTTCTTCGTTCTCTATGCATTACGTGTCAATCTGAGTGTTGCCTTAGTGGATATGGTTGATTCAAATACAACTTTAGCAGATAACAGAACCTCTAAGGAGTGTGCAGAGCATTCTGCTCCCATAAAAGTTCATCATAATCAAACGGTAAGTGCTACTTTTTAAACAAGCAATCTTAATCCTAAAATACGTCAGAGTAAAAGTATTGAAAGGTCTTTCTTAATCCTGTAGAAACCACAAACACTTTATTTTCAGAAGCTCTGAATCTTTTTCTCTTGTGCTTTTTTCAGCAACTGGTTGAACAGTAATATAACTACAGCTACTGCTGCTTGGTGTAATATACTTTGATCTGTTCTAAAAGTAGTTTCTCGGTTTCCTCTATAAACATACCAACCATCCTTGAAGATAACTTGGAAAAACCTGTTTAGCGTACTAGAAAATTTGATTATTTTTGATGTTGCTGAATAGTTTTTATGGGACTCTTCTGCATTAGCTATTTTACTTAAAAGATTATGGTTGCAAGAAAGCTTAGGTCATCTGCAGCGGAAGAATAAGAACAGGTCAATTTCTTAGGACATTCTTTTCCAAAGTTTACACATGCCTAACCTAAGCTGCTTAAGGCACTTTGCTTGCTTCACGTTACAGTGGAATTGATAATTGTGTGTTCATCATTTGTTCAGAATTGAGTTTTGCATACTTTAAGTATTTTATTTTGCTAACACAGGGAGATAGAAAAGGAGAAAAGGCTAGTGTCCTTTTTTATGAGTATATCATCACCCATTTTCAGTGCTCACAGAGGAGCCAGATAGCACTTGGGTTAGTGTCCTCTGCCGTTTATACATAAGAGCATCCAAGCTCAGGAGAGGGTTTCTGCCCAAACAAGCAAACATACAGAAAAGTGACTTACCAAAAAAAAAAATTTTATTTGACTTTAATAATGTTGCTGAATACGTGTTTGAGTACACATCACACACTTTCCCTGCTTCAGCCTGTGACTTATAATTGCTGGACGGACGTTTCATGAAGTCCAAGAATCCTATAGATAAACCACAAATTGGTACTTCAAGTAAGGATAATTAGAGGGGTGCTTTGTATCTTTCATTTAGCAAATGCTTTTGTTGATCTAGCTAGTTATCTTCATCTGCCTTATATGACCAGTAAAAAGAAATCCTGAGATCCTGACATGGTTCTTGACACATTGACTCAGTGATACAACTATGTGAATTAAAGATGTCAGATGAGTCACTAAATCTTCATTATGACCTTACAATGTGCTGCTCCTAATTAAAAGACATCTACTCACATGAAGTCTATGGCTTGATTTAAATACTTGCTCTTTTGTCTTGTTCTGTATGCTTGTTCAAGTACTTGTTCTGAATTAGGGAGATATTAATGAACTATATTTGTGCATACTAATAACCAACATTAAGTGAACAGTTAAGTGTGTGTCAGGCCTTTTTCATTTAATAATATTCCCACATCACAAATCCAGTAAGTAATAGAGCTAGTCTTGAACCCAGCCATGGCTCCAAAGCCCAGCTCAGCCACTACAATATTCTTTTTGGTAGAATTTCTGGATTGAATCTGTGCCTCTTTTTTGAGCTTTCTTGGTTATGGTCATTACAAAGCCTCTACAACTCATCCTATAGTCTAGTTTCATAAAATAATAGGCCTTCTTGAAGTTTATGGCTTTCACTTACTTTCCGTTCACTTCTAGAAATTGCATGCCAGTGCTGTGGTGGCTCACCTACCTGGTAGAAAGTTTGCAAGTTCTTCAGTCTAAAACAGTGGTTCAAAATTATATTTATATATACTAACATGCCAGTTAGACAAAGAGCTCTTTAGTCAAGGTCTTAAAATGTTGTTTCTTTTCCTCCTACTCTTTATAGGGTAAAAAGTACCAGTGGGATGCGGAAACTCAAGGATGGATTCTCGGTTCATTTTTTTATGGCTACATCATCACCCAGATTCCTGGAGGATATATTGCCAGCAAAGTGGGGGGAAAACTGCTGCTAGGATTTGGGATCCTTGGCACTGCTGTCTTTACCCTGTTCACTCCCATTGCTGCAGATTTGGGAGTTGGAGCCCTCATTGTACTCAGGGCACTAGAAGGATTGGGAGAGGTAATTTTTTTCTCTCTTTTTTTTTTCCCTGTTACCCTGTACCACTTTCCCGTCTTCTTAAAGATATCATTCTTTGGTATGAATATAAACCAAAAATTAACATTAGAAGATAATGGGGATTTTTTTTTTTTTTTTTTTTTTTCTTAAAGATTTTATTTATTTGACAGAGAGAGATCACAAGTAGATGGAGAGGCAGGCAGAGAGAGAGAGAGAGAGGGAAGCAGGATCTCTGCCGAGCAGAGAACCCGACGCGGGACTCGATCCCAGGACCCTGAGATCATGACCTGAGCCGAAGGCAGCGGCTTAACCCACTGAGCCACCCAGGCGCCCGGGGATTTATTTTTTAATTAGAAAGGTGATTAACTAGGGACAACTGGGTGGCTTAATTGGTTAAGCATCTGCCTTTGCTCAGGTCATGATCTCGGGGTCCTGGGATCGAGCCCCACATTGGGCTCCCTGCTTGTTTTTCATAGAGCTTCCTCTTTGTTCTTTTTTTCTGATTCCCTAGCTTAGAGACAAATAATTTATCATTTTATATAACTATCTTTCTTTAGTTTTGTGATTCTTATGAACTTTCTGCTGCTTTGAGAATTATCAATTTTTATCTTTTTTTTCCTTTCCTCCTAAGATTTTTATCACTTGGAAATTTTAATTCTTATCTTTCTTTTCCTTTCCACTTCTCTTTTGCATTTCATAGTATGTATCTGTTTGTTTGTTTGTTTGTTTTAGAGAGGGAAAGAAAGAGAGGCAAGAAGGAGGGACAGAGTGATAGGGAGAGAGAGAATCTTACGCAGGTTCCATGTCCAGCACAGAGCCCAATACGGGTCTCAAGCCCACAACCCTGAGATCATGACCTGATTCAGATTCAGGAGTTACAGACATTCAACTGACTGTGCCTCCCAGGTGCCCCGGTACCTCAATCTTTAAATAATGGTCTCTTTTTGTTTCTGACTTTGAGCTTCTTTTTTTTTTTTTTTTTAAGATTTTATTTATTTACTTGACAGAGAGAGATCACAAGCAGGCAGAGAGGCAGGCAGAGAGAGAGGAGGAAGCAGGCTCCCCGCTGAGCAGAGAGCCCGATGTGGGGCTCGATCCCAGGACTCTGAGATCATGACCTAAGCTGAAGGCAGTGGCTTAACCCACTGAGCCACCCAGGTGCCCCTGACTTTGGGCTTCTACCTGTGAAACTGAGACATAGGTTTATTTTGCTCTTAACATACCTTGACCCAACCGAAATAGTGACCTCTGGGTTTAGTGTGTAGCATGAAGCTTATGTTAGGTAGCAGTGTATCGTGCTGTGCTGGAAAAACACTGACTGGAGTCATAAGATCAGAGTTTGAATAGTTAACTCCACTGCATCTAATAGTGAAACCTGATGCAAGCCTTCATCTCTAGACCTCAGTTCCATCATTTTTCAAACTGGAACTAAAATACCTGCCCCCTCCTCAGTCACAGCTCAGATGTGATAATGATTGCTAGAATATTTTGGAAATTGCCAAGTACTGTTATTTTTAAGCTTTGATCACTCATCTGAGCATTCTTATTTTGTCCTTATCAAATAGAGTTGTATTAAACAAACTCCTGTGACTGCAAAATAAAAATGACTCCCTTATTACCAGGTTCTTCTTCTTACATAAATAAAATATACTTAACTATAGTGTATTTTCTCTGATCCCAATATTGAATCTCCTTGTTGAATGTATTCCCATATGATGGGGCACCTGGGTGGCTCAGTGGGTTAAAGCCTCTGCCTTCGGCTCGGGTCATGATCCCAGGGTCCTGGGATCGAGCCCCGCATTGGGCTCTCTGCTCAGCAGGGAGCCTGCCCCCCTCCCTCTCTGCCTGCCTCTCTGCCTACTTGTGATCTCTGTCTATCAAATAAATAAATAAAATCTTTAAAAAAATAAAAATAAAAATAAATGTATTCCCATATGTTAGCTTCTTGTCTGTTTATGTCACTAATTTAGCATTATAGTATATTGATTGTATTACTACTGTTATCTCAAGTAACTGTGTTACTTCTGAATAGAACTTAAATTGTGTTTATTCTTCTTTTGTCTTTATCTGTTCCACCAGTATTATCACATGTACATTACCTCATCCATAAACTTAGGTCAGCATCTTTCATCTCTAGCATCTGACTCGCCATAATTATACCCACAGGGCCCCTAAGGTTTTATAATAAAGTTTTTCACAACATAACTTCTGTGGACGTTTCGCCACACCTTCATCTCTCTTCTGTAGTGATCTCTATTCTCCTGTGATACAGATTCGTATCAACTTGCAATGCTGCCTAAATCATTTTTTTAAGATTTAATTTATTTATTTATTTGAGAGAGAGAGAGAGAGAGCACAAGCAGGAGGGGCAGAGAGAGAGAGAGAGAATCTCTAGTCAACTCCCCACTGAGTGTAGAGTCCAGTGCAGGGCTCCGTCTCATGACCCTGAGATTGTGACCTGAGCCAAAATGAAGAGTCAGACGCTTAACTGACTGAGCCACCCAGGTGCCCCTGCCTAAATCATTTTTGCCTTCCACTGGTATTTCTGTCTTTCATTCTTCTGTTTTGTTTTGTTTTGTTTTGTTTTGTTTTTAAAGGAATCAGCAGAAAGTACAAAGTGTTAAAGCTTTTATTCTTGTCTCTGTTAATAATAATAGCACTAGCTACCCTTTAGCTTTACAACAATCATGTGAGATAGGGAGTATTATCTTTGCTTTACAGATAAAGAAACTGAAGTTCAAGGAGGTTAACTAATCTGTGTTAGACTGCACAGTTAGTGAGTGACCAAAGACAGCTGTGAATCCACAGCTTTGAATCCACCAAAATCTCTTCCTTTCCACCTCTCCTCCAACAGCTCCTCCTCTCCCAAGTCTCTGTGACCCTCCTGCCTCCACCATTCCACTGCCACTTCATATCAGTAACTGGCATTTACTAAGCTAGTTATCACCAAGAAGAAAAGAAAAAAAAAAGACTATATACACTCTAATTGAATTCATCGGGGTTTTTTATAGGACAATTTTTCTTACTGATTAAGGTCAATTTGAATTTTCTTCCAGTATCCCAAAGTATTAGCTCAGCATTTTTTTAAAGTTATATATTGGTAGTAATATTCCCATTTCATTCAGGCCAGTAATAAAGTGAATGAGTAAAATTGGCCTTGAGAGGGATTCCTTTACGTCATCATGCAGTGTATTCTTTTAGATTTATTATAAATCCTTACATTGTAGTCCTCAAGCCACTTGACAGAATCCACAAATCTTTGTCCAGATTTTCGAAGTACTTCACTATAAGGTACTTTCACTCAACACTGTGGAAACATCTCACCTCGTGGAACCCAATTCTAGTGTGGTTCTTATGCAGAAATCTCTCTCACAACAAAAGACTCAACTGGATTTAAAACATTAACAAAACTACCTTGTATTTCAGTGGAAATATCTTTTTCCCCTCCTCAGGGTGTTACATTTCCAGCTATGCATGCCATGTGGTCTTCTTGGGCTCCCCCTCTTGAGAGAAGCAAACTTCTTAGCATTTCATATGCAGGTGAGATAACTATTCTTGTAAAAACTTTGCTATAATCTGTTATGTATATATCAGCCTTGGATAAAAAAAGAGATGTGTTCATACCCAAATGATGTCAGAATACTCCTTTCAGTGAAAAATAAAATTTTGGAGGTATAATTTTATTATTAATTTTTCTCTTTGGCCCAACAACATATAGCAATGTGGCTTCGTTGACTAATGTCATTTTCTCCATCTGCCATCATTTATTTCAAAACATGTTGCTTGTTCAGATGTTTATATAAAGAATGCTATGGTTTTCTTTCTTTTTTTTTTTTTTAAGTTCCAATAGCTGGAAAGTTAAACCCTTTAGTCCTTAAATTGTGATTTCTAATCTGATTGTCTAATGAGCATATCATAACTCTCAGCCCCTCTTCATACGTCTTTTTTCTGTGCATTTATTTGCTATCATTTTAATCAGTGGATGAGATAGCGTGAGCTTTATATGTGAATTATAATTTTACTAGATCACACACTGAATGAAAACTTTTGGACCTGTCTGCTTTTAAATACAGTGGTTGACAAAGACCTCTCTGGAGTCACCTTTAAGCTAAAATCTGCAGGCTAAGAACCAGCCATGCAAAGAGCAGGAGGAGCATTCCAGCCAACCAGAACAGCATGTACAAGGGCTCTCAGGCAGGAAATAACATAAGAGTTCAAAGAAATGAAAAACCACGGTGGGTGGCTAGAACTTAATGAATAAAGGGGAGAATGGAATAAGATGAGGTTGGAGAAATAGACAAGAGCCAGATTATATCAGGCTTTACAGGCCAGGGGAAGAAATTTAGTTGTTGTGGTTTTTTTCTCCAAAATACAATGGGGAGACATCAGAGGTGTCTAATCAAAAGAGAGACAGGATCCAATTTACATTTTAAGAAGGTGGTTCTTACAGCTATGTAAAGATCAACATGAGAAATCCAATATAAGTTCATGAGCAGGTACTACCTATGCTTCCTCCTTTCGTATTGAGTGAGTTCTACGCTCCAACTGGGGGTCAAGATTCTTTAGTCTTCACTACTTCGTTGCAGCTAGCCTAATCCCTAGCACACAGTGCCTGAAGTGGAGTAGATATTCAGTTACTATCCAACATAGTTTTCCAGCCTTTATCCTCTCTTCCTTTCCTTCACCCAAGCAAAGTTCCCAAACCCACTCTCTGTTTCCCTGCTTCACTCCTTTACTCATCCTGTTGTATCTGCCTCTCTGTCTTCTTCCTAACCTTGTTTCTATGGGACAAAAATCTTACCCATCTTTCAAAGTCTATTGCTGCCTCTTATATCTTTTCCTGACCTCTAGGAGTCAAAGGTCATCTGTCCCATATTGGAACTTCCACACTGTTCTGTGACACTTAACTCTTTCTAACCCATAATAATTACTTGTTTATTTTTCTCTCCTCTAAAACTTGACATCAGAAAAAACATCTCATTATTTTAACTGCCACTCTCTCTACTAAGCTGTCTTCTATTTGGTGATTAAAATGAATTTCATTATTTATTTATCTGAAACAATTCTTTGTAATATATTTTGGGCAACTTAGATTACTAAAAGCTTCATTCTTATTTCCTCAGTTGTACTGCAGTACATTATGTTTATCAGCCTTAGAGACCATCTTTGAACCTTTCCCCAAACACTTGCATTTCATTTCATTTACTAGTAATGTGGCATTGACTAGCTCATGTTATAATAGGTCCTATACTGATTGATGCATTCTAATTAATCAATAGCTACATAGTTGTAACTAATGTAATTACAAATTAATGTGTATGTCTTACATATTGTGGGTTTTCTAGTAAATGATTCCTTGAGAAAATCTGTTACCCATCTTCCTTAAGCAGTAGACCAGTCCCCTCGTTCATCTCTCTACAAAGTTTACCTAGTCTTTATTGTTGTTCTAGGAGCACAGCTTGGGACAGTAATTTCTCTTCCTCTTTCTGGAATAATTTGTTTCTATATGAATTGGACTTATGTCTTCTACCTTTTTGGTAAGTTTACTCAAAAATTTAACTTAAATCATAATGTAACAAATCCAAAATGTATTAATAGTCTAATAACTGGTTAAAAATATATATTCCAACTCACTAAGTTACCAACTCCTAAACCACAAAGTTCTAAAATACTTAATGAAAATCTGTTTTTTAACTTTACTTGCTTAAAATGATCTAGTTGACTTATGATGTGATACTCTTTTTGGAATATTTCTCAATAGAAACTGCTGTTGAATCCAAGACTTTAATGCTATACTCACTACCAAAAACTACAGTGTTGGTTATTATAAAAATTTATATTTTGAAAAGATTTTTTTTTTTTTAAAGATTTTATTTATTTTTTTGACAGAAATCACAAGTAGGCAGAGAGGCAGGCAGAGAGAGAGGAGGAAGCAGGCTCCCTGCTGAGCAGAAAGCCCGATGTGGGGCTTGAACCCAGGACCTGGGATCATGACCTGAGCTGAAGGCAGCGGCTTAACCCACTGAGCCACCCAGGCGCCCCTTTGAAAAGATTTTTTCTCAAGCAAAGTAGGATGCCCTCACTTGACAGCTTTAATTTTTTCTCTTTTTATTCAGTCTCAGGGCCTTTCATTTCTCAATCTCATTAGCAGGATGATACATGTTTTTAATAAATTAGATTGCCATGTAGACATTTCATGCAGAAAATACATCTGCATTCTAAACAAAAAACAAATCAATGAGTGAAAACAGATATCTGTGGAAATAATAGATTATGAAAATTTATTTTTCAAAATGTTTGGTAGACTCTGATAAGCAGAGTCATAAGCTTAAAGTTGTTCTATTCAAAACTTAGAGGAAATAATACAAATAGCAAGTATCCCATTAGGAAATTATGAGTAGAATTTGAAATCAACACCAAGCTGAAACCAGTTTTACTTTGATAATTAATGATTACATAATTTTTTCAAGACATGTAAAAATTGATGTTGGTGCATTCTGATATTATTTAACTTATTTTCCGTTTTCAGGTATAGTTGGCATCGTTTGGTTTATTTTATGGATCTTTTTCGTTAGCGAAACGCCAGAAACTCACAAGACAATCTCCCACCATGAAAAAGAATATATTCTTTCATCATTAAAAAATCAGGTATGGACTCTGGCACATTTTTTTTTTGTTTTATTTATTTATTTGGGAGACAGAGAGAGAGCATAAGCTGGGTGAGAGGCAGAGAGAGAAGCAGACTCCCTGCAGAGGAGGGAACCCAATGCAGGACTCCGGGATCATGACCTGAGCCGAAGACAGACACTTAACCAGCTGAGCCACCCAGGTGTCCTATTTTGGCACATTTTAAAACAATTTCAGAACTTTTTTTTCTTCAGAAGTGAGGTACCAATTTTTTAAACAGATATTTCTATTGTGCATGTTCTGGGCAAAGTAGAGACCAGGCAAATGAAATAGATGAAGTATTGGTTTGTTTTATCTGAGAAATTCCAATCTTTTAAGATTAAGTTCATGAAAAATTACTTTCATATTGCATGCTCTACCAACTGAGCCTGCCAGGCGCACCATAAGTTGCTCTAAACCTTCTAGAATAATGATTATCGATGCGTCTTAAGTTTGTCTTCTTAATTAATAGAAAATAAAATGTTAGTTGTTAGAAAACCAGTGTTTTTATCTGCATTTTATTTATTTATTTATTTTTCTCTTTTCTTTTCTCCCCTCTCCCAACCCCTTATCTATATTTTAAATGAGTGTGATATAATAAGGAAAACAGCACATTTGTTATGACTTATAGTATGCTATATACTTACCTGTTTGCTCCTCTAGAGTAGATCCTTGGAAAAGAATTATGTTATTAAAGCTAGATTTTTATCACTTAATCAAGCACAATAGCATGTCAGAAATAAAAATCTGTCATAATTTAATAGTGTAAATCTTCAAGTCATGGAAATAAAATATTTGTCTTTTGGAGAGAATAAAAGAACATAAAAAATCAGGAAAAATTAAAATGTATTCAGTCTTCTTTAGCATTTTAATGCCTTCATTGTGACTTTATTCATTTAAGAACAAAATATTTTATATTAAAACTTTTTTCTTGGAGCACCTGGGTGGCTCAGTGGGTTAAGGCTCTGCCTTTGGCTCAGGTCATGATCTCGGGGTCCAGGGATTGAGCCCCGCATCGGGCTCTCTGCTCTGCAGGGAACATGCTTCCCCCTCTCTTTGCCTGCCTCTCTGCCTACTTGTGATCTCTCTCTCTCCATCAAATAAATAAGTAAAATCTTAAAAAAAAAAAAAAAAAAAAAAAAACTTTTCTTATCCATTAAGTTGTTATTATTGATATTTTCAGTTTTTATATATAGTGTAACCGGGCAGCAATTAAATATTGACTTATTCACCTTTCTTTTTAAGTTTTTAAACTTTGCTACAAATGTCTCTACAAGCTGCTGAACTTTAAGGAATATGGCGCCTCTTGGTCTTCAGGTTGGCAAAAACTCAGAAAATAAGTCACAATATAGTATAAAGTTGCTTTATTCACTTGGTATCCTCTGTGATGTTGATCAAATGAGTAACCCACTTTACCCCTAAGGGAGAGATAAAAATAATGTAATGCATTGTGAGATCTTGCCATATGAAACTTGATATGTCTTGTCACATTTTCTCAGCATTGATGGTAACAGCTTATTTATTTCATTACTTCATTTCTATCACTATTTTTATGGACTTATGAAAACTTTTAGTTTCTTTAGATTTTTTTTTTATTTTTTAATTTATTTGACAGACAGAGATCACAAGTAGGCAGAGAGGCAAGCAGAGAGAGAGGAGGGGGGAAGCAGGCTCCCCACTGAGCAGAGAACCCGATGCGGGGCTTGATCCCAGGACCCCGGGATCATGACCTGAGCCGAAGGCAGAGGCTTTAACCCACTGAGCCACCCAGATGCCCCAGTTTATTTAGATTTTTTAAAAAGCTTGCTTTCTCTACGTCGATATGTGTCTAAAGCTGTCCCTTATCCAAACTTAAGGTTAATTTGTTTTTCCATATACTTCAGAAAATGGAATACTCAGAAGCTAGACAAGTTAGGATTATGTTTCATAGAATTCCAAACTGCATTCTTAAGCCAGATGATGTTGTGATTAAAAATGTCATAAGATAAAGGTGCCTGGCTGGCTCAGTTGGTAGAGTATGAGACTCTTGATCTCAGGGCTGTGAGTTTGAGCCCACATAGGGCAGAGAATTTACTTTAAAAAAAAAAAAAAAGTCATAAAATAATGATGTGTTACATGAAGCTCCACCTCTAAATCTTGAAATCTTAAGAATCTAAAATCTAAGAAATGTGCAGCATCCGCTGAACTTCATTCATTCTTTAAACATTTTTTTTGAGAATTACCGTGTCCTAGGTTCTTTGTCAGGCACTGAGCACTTAAAAATTAATACAAAAAAGAAAATGAGGGGTGCCTGAGTGGCTCAGTCGTTAAATGTCTGCCTTTAACTCTGGTCATGATCCCATAGTCCTGGGATTGAGCCCCATGTCCGGTTCCCTGCTCTGTGGGAAGCCTGCTTCCCCCTCTCCCACTCCCCCTGCTTGTGTTCCCTCTGGCTGTGTGTGTCTCTCTCTCTATCAAATAAATAAATAAAATCTTAAAAAAAAAAAAGAAAGAAAGAAAGAAAATGAACAAGACATGGTTCCTGGGGTACCTGTGATCTCCAGAGAGAGACAGACATGTGTGCACATAATTTCAATATGATATATGCTGCTGTATCAAAATAAAAGTTCCCTCTCCTCCTCTTCCCCCAAATCACCTACATCTTTGATACAGAGTGAAAAACACAAAAGTGTATCTACCAAGTCAGATAAAAAGTCCCTAGGGAAAAAAAGGCACAAGAAGATTAATAATAGTTCTTCCTCTCTTTAAAATAATCGTGAACCCTGGAGGCAGAAACATAAATGGCTGTATTAGCTTTTGAGAAGGAAACCACAGAGCTTCAGTGTATAGGAAATGTAATAATCTGATACTCCAGGCCAGTGGATTCATGTTTCTTAATCATGCATCACTTAAAAGGTGGGGGTTAACACTCAATATACGTATATTTATTCACGGTTATCTACAGGTACTGTACTTACATGTATTATAAAACATGTCTAAAAATAGACTTTTTGAAGAGTGAATAAAATGAAATAAACAGTGTATACATGAATTTGGAATTTCAATGGGAAAAACTTTTTGTTACTTAAAAATTGGTAATAATAATGTTTAATGGGAGCAGTGTTGACTGTGTTGTATCTGATGAGCCTACCGTGACTTTGCTGGGTGCGGCAGCTGACAAAGGACTGATGAGGACAAGTGTCAGTTCCACTGTTGTCTTAGTGTTCCTGTGAGCCTGTGTTATTAGAATTCTCTTCCATGACTTTCTGTTAGAATCTTTTGAAGACAGTGTCAGTTTTGTAGATTTGTTTTCATTAAAACTGGTTTAAAAAAATCCACAAACCCACTTAAAAAGGTGGGGGTAAACTGTACTGTGTTGTAGTTGTGAGGGCAAGCTGACAAGTGAGGACACTATCAACCCCTTCAAACCGGGGAGATGATACAGTATATGATTGTGTGACATACTCCAGGGCCAACCTAGTTATTAAATATTAATGGTGTTTAGTTTCTTTCTTTAGGATAAAAGTGAGTATAGATAGATGTTCTAAAATGGGGATGCCTTCAGCTCAGGTCATGATCCTAGGATCCTGGGATCTAGTGCCCCGTCGGGTTCCTTGCTCAGCGGGGAACCTCTTCTCTCTCTGCCTGCTGTTGTGCTGTCTCTCTCTCTGACAAATAAATAAAATCTTTAAAAAAAAAGTTCTAAAATGTTCTTCCATACAGCGAGGGGTCATCTTACATCACTCTCGGGTGCTTATACCCTACTTCGAAGACCATTTCTCCAGATGCCGCGCAAACAAACGTTCTGTTGCGACCTTCTTATAAGTCATTGGAATTGAGTAAAGATTGGATAGTGAAATAGGAATTCTAATAGGACTTGCAGTCTCATTCCTTTGCCGTTATGTCAACCTCTGAATTTTATTATGAAACTATTCTCTATTTTATAGATGGAGAAATTAATACTGCAAGTGAATTCTGACATTCATAAGGAGTTATAAGATTACATTCCTGTTTTTTATTTCAACCTGAATCATGGACAACTCTTTTGCTGTTTAATATTTTGAAAGAGGTGGTTTAAAACTCTGGAATTTACTGGGGCACTTGGGTTACTCAGTCAGTTAAGTGTCCCAAGTCTTAATTTCAGCTCAGGTCATGATCTCAGGGTTGTAAGATCTTCCCCGCATCAGGCTGGATGTCTGCTTCTCTGTCCCAATCTCTCCCCCTTCTTCTTGTGCTCTCTCTCTCTAAAATAAATAAATCTTTACCCCCTGCAAAAAAAAGCTTCTGGAACTTACTAATCAAGGCTGGTAATGTGTTCCAGACGGAATTTTGGCTGATAAAGTATGGATATAAACATAACATATACTAATAGTGCCTGTTATTTTTTTCAGCTTTCTTCACAGAAGTCAGTGCCATGGACACCCATGCTAAGATCATCGCCTCTTTGGGCTATTGTAGTTGCACATTTTTCTTACAACTGGACCTTTTATACTTTATTGACGTTATTGCCTACTTACATGAAGGAGATCCTAAGGTTCAATGTTCAAGAGGTAAGAAAAAGTAATGATCTCTTTCTGATATAAAGTATACTCTTTTTTTAAGATTTTATTTATTTATTTGACAGAGAAAGCGAGAGAGGGAATACAAGCAGGGGGAGTGGGAGAGGGAGAAGCAGACCCCTCGCCGAGCCCAGAGCCTGATGTGGGGCTCAATCCCGGGACTCCAGGATCATGACCTGAGCCTAAGGCAGACGTTTAACCATTGAGCCACCCAGGCGCCCCAAAAATACATTTTTAAACTGCACACAGAATTTGTTTTTACCCATATAAAAGTCAGTTATTTTGTATCTTCCATTTTACACTCACCTACTGAATCTAGAGACTGCTCTTTTTGCTTCACAGTTGTACCTTCTTTGTTCAGTGTGTGTTCTTGATTCAAGGCATCTTTTGGCAGGTATCCCCCTTAACCATAAAGGTCTTAGTAGTCCCTAGTAGGTATCCCCCTTAACCATAAAGGTCTTAGGATATCAGATGACAAATTCAAGCATACCCATCATCACTTCTCCAAGGGCTGGTGGGGGCGCTCTGCTGGCAGCTGAGAGAACTTGGAAGCCATGAGTTTCCTGAGCAGAGGTTGCTCTGAGGCATTATCCATGCACTGGCAGGCTGTAACTGCAAAGCTGTGTAAGAAGGGCCTTCCTAGGATGCCTGGGTGGCTCACTCTGTTAGGGGTCTGCCTTCAGCTCAGGTCATGACCCCAGGGTCCTCGGATCAAGTCCTGCATTGGGTTCCCTGCTCAGTGGGGAGTCGGCTTCCCCCTCTGCCCCTGACCCTCCTCCCCGCTTGTGTGCCCCCCCACTCTCTGTCTCAAATAAATAAATAAAATCTTTTTAAAAGGGGGCGCCTGGGTGGTTCAGTGGGTTAAAGCCTCTGCCTTCAGCTCAGGTCATGATCCCAGGGTCCTGGGATAGAACCCTGCATCAGGCTTCTGCTCAGCGGGGAGCCTGCTTCCCCCCCCCCACCGCATCTCTGCCTGCCTCTCTGCCTACTTGTGATCTCTGTCAAATAAATAAATAAAATCTTTAAAAAAAAAAAATCTTAAAGAAAAACCTCCTGAAACTGCCAGTTCTTTTGAACCCATAGAATTGAGGCAGTTTCAAAAAAAAAAAAAAAAAAAAAAAGAATTGCAGTTTCTATCATAATCTCTGGGCTGATGGGTTTTGTCTTTTAAGAGATTGAGGAAAAACCTAAAGAGAAAGAAGCAGTTTGTAAGGAAAGTTGGTGGTGTTTTGCCTTCAAAATAAAAGACAGATCAAAGACCTAAATGTGACAGCTAAAACGATAAAACTCTTAGAAGGTATACTTCTTTGTGACCTTCACAACAGTTTCTTATATATAAAACCAAAAGCATACGTGACCAAAGAAAAAATATATAAATTAGATTTCATCAAAATTAAAAACTTTTGTGCCTCAGAGGACGCTATCAAGAATGAAAATACACACACACATACACACATACACAAGAATGAAAATCCACTAAATAGGAGAAAATATTTGTAAATCAAAATCATTTATCTTCCATTTTTATACAAAAAGATATTTTCTTTCAAAATTCAAAGAAATGTGAATGAAGTTTAAAATAATTCTTGGGACGCCTGGGTGGCTCAGTGGGTTAAAGCCTCTGCCTTCGGCTCAGGTCATGATCTCTGGGTCCTGGGATCGAGCCCCGCATGGGGATCTCTGCTCCACGGGGAGCCTGCTTCCTCCTCTCTCTCTGCCTGCCTCTATGCCTACTTGCGATCTCTCTTTGTCAAATAAATAAATAAAATCTTAAAAAAAAAAAGTTTAAAATAATTCTCTAGTTGAATAAAAGCCCCTTTTTAAAATGAATTCCTTTTTGGGGCGCCTGGGTGGCTCAGTGGGTTAAGCCTGTGCCTTCCGCTCAGGTCATGATCTCAGGGTCCTGGGATCGAGCCCCGAATTGGGCTCTCTGATCAGCGGGGAGCCAGCTTCCCCCCCCACCCTGCCTGCCTCTCTGCCTATTTGTGATTTCTCTCTCTCTCTGTCAAATAAATAAATAAAATCTTTTTTAAAAATTAAAATAAAATAAAATGAATTCCTTTTTAACCTTTGTTCAAAATAAAGCCTGCTTGGAAAAGCGTTATATTTAAAATTATAATCTCATTAATTTAAAATTTTTAAAGCTCTTGATCCTGTGTTATAAATTTTCTTTTTCATAGAAGTTTAGCTTCATTAGTTATCCTCACTTTTCTTTTTTCCTAATTTTTCCTAATTCTAATGTCCCTATTTTTTTTTAAGATTTTTTTTTTAAGAGTTTATTTATTTTTGTGAGAGAGAGCAAGCAAGAGTGGGGGCAGGGAGGGGTGGAAGGAGAAGCCGACTCCTCACTGAAGAGGGAGCCTGATGTGGGACTCAATCCCAAGGCCCTGGGATCATGACCTGAGCTGAAGACAGACTCTTAACCGACTGAGCCATCCAGGCACCCAATTTTGAAGATTTATAGTAGTTTGCAGAAAGTAGTTGTAGGTTGTTAGCAGAGTTTTTAACATTTGAACCTTAAGTGGAAAATTTCAGTAACTCTGATGAATTATCAGTCTTATCCCACAAGAGAACAAGACCAAGATCAGAAAATTCACTTCTCTATTTGCTTCAGTTTATTCATGTGTAGGATTCTGCCACAAATAATGATAGATGTGATCCTACTCTGCAGAAATCTAAATAGAATAAAATTTAAAGAGGAGGGGCGCCTGGGTGGCTCAGTCATTAAGCATCTGCCTTTGGCTTAGGTTATGATCATAGGGTCCTGGGATTGAGCCCCCGCATCCAGCTCCCTGCTCTGGGGAAGTCTGCTTCTCCCTCTCCCTCTGCCTGTGCTTGTGTTCCCCCTCTCGCTGTTTCTCTCTCTCTCTCTCTCTGTCAAATAAAATCTTTTTTAAAAAATTTCTAAGAGGAAATTACTCATCTCAGTACAAGAAAGAAACAAAAATCTTAGCTATAGAAGTAGAACTAGAAGCATACAGCACCTAAATATAGAGGACCACAAACTGATGAAAAGAACTGAATCTTAAGCACACTTAAATTCTTTTTTTTTTTTTAAGATTTTATTTATTTATTTGACAGAAAGAGAGATCACAAGTAGGCAGAGAGGCAGGCAGAAAGAGAGGGGAGGAAGCAGGCTCCCTGTGGAGCAGAGAGCCCACTTGATCCCAGGACCCTGGGACCATGACCTGAGCCGGAGGCAGAGGCTTAACTCACTGAACCACCCAGGCGCCCCAGGCACACTTAAATTCTTAAATTTAAAATATCAACAGATTTTTTTGGTTTGTACCATTCATGATGCTTTTTTTTTTTTTAAAGATTTTATTCATTTATTTGACAGACAGAGATCACAAGTAGGCAGAGAGGCAGGCAGAGACAGGGAGGAAGGGAAGCAGGCTCCCCGCTGAGGAGAGAGCCCGATGTGGGGCTTGATCCCAGGACCCTGAGATCATGACCTGAGCCGAAGGCAGTGACTTAACCCACTGAGCCACCCAGGCGCCCCAGCCATTCATGATGCTTAAATGGAATTATTACCAGATTTAAATACCACCGATAAAATATCTTTCTACCTTTTTTGTAAAACATGACCTTAGTTATAAAATATTAAAATGTGTATCCATCTTTCTCAGACTATAAAAACATTTGTTCTTATCAAAATTAGACCATTTATTATTGGCACCCCAGGTTTATGCTGGGAAAAAAATGAATAGAAGAAGGAAGTGTCTTCTTTTTTTCCAAGTATGTGTTTTTCATTTTACAATGATCTGATTCATTTTACAGAAGTTGTGATTTCCTAAAAAGCTGACTGTCAGATCATTTCCTACAAAGCAAATAGCACATTTCCATGTTAAATTGTTTCATATGTCCTGGTACTTTTATTTTTTTTTAGGTGGGAACTTAAAGGAAAAGAAGAGGGAAAAATAGAGGTCTGTCACCTCACTACCTGTGTCCTCTGCCCAAAGCATGTGGTAGTGCACTGGACACTTGACTTAGATGGTGTGCATTCTAGAATAATTCATTAAGCAATACATTGGAGTTATGTAGTTTTCTGTATCTGCATGTTACTTTGTAATAAAAATATTTGTATAGGGGTGCCTGGGTGGCTCAGTGGCTTCATAGGCTCAGGTCATGATCCCAGGGTGCTGGGATCGAGCCCCACATTGGGCTCTCTGCTCAGCAGGGAGCCTGCTTCCCTTCCTCTCTCTGCCTACCTCTCTGTCTACTTGTAATCTCTGTCTGTCAAATAAATAAATAAAATCTTAAAAAAAAAATCTTAAAAAAAATTTGTATAAATACAAATATAAATACGTATAATTATATATACCATATAACAATTTTATGTAATTTATAAATATATTTTTAACATTTTCTATCTTTATATTTATATAAAATATAAATTATATCACTTAAAATAGAAATATAAATTTTAAACTATAAATGAGTAATTACATATAATAATTTTAAATATAAATATATAATACATATATAATATATAATATGTAAGTATTATAATATACTTATATATAAATAAAGTATATTATAATATACTTATATGTAAATATAAACAAATAAGTGAAATTATATGTAAATATAAACAAATAAGTGAAAAATGACCAAAAACTAGTCAATAGGGAGAATCTATAGCTAATAGATTTGTCCTCTCTTACTGAAGCTGTACCCCAGGTCCCAAAATAACATGCAAGATTACCTTGAGCAGACTGGACTGTTTAAATAGCAACAGGATATTGCTATGAATCTCCTTTTTGAGTGCTGGTGGGTGTGTGTATGTGTGTGTTGTTTTGGTTCTTCCTCCCCTCCACTACCCCACCACCGCCACATAATTAATTCTAAATCTTCTTATTCCTTCCAGAATGGGCTACTTTCTGCACTGCCTTATTTTGGCTGTTGGTTATGTATGATCCTGTCTGGTCAAGCTGCTGACAATTTAAGGGCAAAATGGAATTTTTCAACAATATGTGTCCGAAGAGTTTTTAGCCTGATAGGTAAGTGAGTTGAATCAAGGTTTATTTCAGTTTACCATTATTTACTGTGTTTATAGTGCAAGGCAAAATAAAAATGGTATTGGACATTTATTTTGTCCACATATTAAAATACTATGTTTTAATGCATGTAGTGCATTTCTGTACAAGATGGTTAGTTCTTTCTGAACCATGCATCTTGAGGGTTAATATTGATAATATCCTATTACCTCCACCATAGTCTTATAACTATAAAAAATGGCTTGCTTTGCTGAATATCATTTCCAGAATTTTATAAACCACAGTGTTTTCAGCTCTAAGTTTGCAGTGAAAATAATTATTTAAGCCTCCATCCCTTTTCTAAATGAACACATTTTCAACTTCAAAAACATTTACTGACATCATTACATTAAATGAGGAGCTATGAATCAAAGAACTCAAAGGAACATTCAATAATCATATGTTTCAGACTGATTTCATAAAGACAGATTTTAAAACTTTCTATGACAATTGCTTTATTTTCTTTTTTTAAGATCTTCGGTAAGTGGAGACCCTGGAAGTCTCTGATGGCTATACTTCAGAAATTACCTTATAAAAGGACGCTATTCAGGATAATTCTGAAAATCCCTTCTGAGCAGCTACTGCTGGAAGGTGCTGTCCTGTTCTATTGCTTACTTATTCAACTCCCAAGAATTTTTCCTCACCTGCAAATGAAATAGATCCCATTAGATTCAATCCAATTTTCTCTTTTTTGGCTTCTGTTCACCTGCTCTGTCCAATATGGTAGCCACTATCCATATATGGCTATTTACATTTAATTGAAACTTTAAAATAAGTTCCTTCACTGCAGTGCATACAAATACAACATTTTCATCATCACAGAGAGTTATTGGATAGGTGCTGCTGTAGAACAGAGAAAAAGTGGCAACCCATTCATTAAGTCCCTTCCTGTTACTCATATTTTGTGCTTAACTGCCTATAATAAAATATGTATATTGCTATCAATGCTAAAACCTAGATGGAGTGCTCTTATAACTTTATTCAACAGAATTTATCTAGTTTATCTTCTTTGGTTATATGAACTTTAAATCTCATTCTGTACCACGTATAGCTTCTCTCTAGAACTATATTTTTCATTCTCTTCTTGCTCTTTGTAGAACTATAGCTGAGTCTTGGCAAGGAAGATTTAATAATGTTGCATTGTGATATTTTCTTTTACATTACTTTCACATTAGTTGCATTATGTCTATGTGTTTTTCAGCAGTTTTCGTTTTGTCATGAAAACTGTTCAGTCTTCTATGCAGTACAGCATTTCTACAGTAGGTGGCAGTAGTGTCAAATCTCAGATTTATACTATATTAAGGTAACCCAAGCAAATATTAAAACCGGGGCTTCTTTTTCTGTTTATAACTTTTTAACTCCAGGAATGATTGGACCTGCAGTATTCCTTGTAGCCGCTGGATTTATAGGTTGTGATTATTCATTGGCCGTTGCATTCTTAACCATATCGACAACACTGGGAGGCTTTTGCTCTTCTGGATTTAGCATCAACCATCTGGATATTGCTCCTTCGTGAGTACTAATATAAAAATTGGCTATGATTGACTTTAAATTTTTTTTTAATTGTGGTTAAGTATATATTACATGAAATACACCATTTTAACCATTTTTAAGTGTACAGTTCTATGGCGTTAACTACAGATTCAGGTGTGAAGATGGTATGCAGCTATCACCACCATCCATCTCTAGAACTTTGTCATCTTCCCAAGCTGAAACTGTTCCCATTAAACAGTAACTCCCCATTCCTAACCTCCCCACCATCCCTGGCAACCTCCATTCTACTTTCTTCCTCTTTAAATTTAACTACTCTAGGAATGACTTTAAATTCTTTTTTTTTTTTAAAGATTTTATTTATTTATTTGACAGAGAGAAATCACAAGTAGGCAGAGAGGCAGGCAGAGAGAGAGGAGGAAGCAGGCTCCCTGCTGAGCAGAAAGCCCGATGTGGGGCTTGAACCCAGGACCTGGGATCATGACCTGAGCCAAAGGCAGCGGCTTAACCCACTGAGCCACCCAGGCGCCCCAGGAATGACTTTAAATTCTTAAACAAGAGGCATCTGGGTGGCAAAATCAGTGGAGCATCCACTCAGTTTCGGCTCAGGGTGATCTCAGGGTCATGGGATCGAGCCCCACATCAGTTCCACACTCAGCACAGAGTTGGCTTAAGAGTCTCTTCTTCCCCATCTCCTGCTCCCCACTCCATTCTCATTCTCTCTCAAATAAATAAAATAGCTTAAAAAAGAATAAAAACAAATTTTTAAACAAGATTTCAGTTTACATAACACATGAAATTATTTTTAAATTAAAAATTTTAACTGTCATCACCTCTGTACACAGTTTCCAACAAAAACATTACATATAACACATGATAACTTGTGTCTGTCTCCCCAGCTAGAGTGGGAACTCGCAAGGCAGATGCTGTCTTACCATCCCCATGGGCTTGGCACATGGTGGGCATTTAGTTGGATGGATGAATGACCAAGACCAGACCAAGTTATTTGTCCAATTATTATCTTACCTATGTGCAAATATATTTGTCTAGCACTTGATAGCTTATAAATCACTTTCACAAACATTACCTCATTTTATCCTTAAAGCATTCCTAATGAGATAGATACTCTTAACTCATTTTATAACTAAAGATTCAGAGCAATTAAGTGATTTTCTTACATCACATAGCTAACAAATGATAGAGCCCAAACTTGAACCTAAACCTCTTACCTTTAAGCCCAGAATTCTTTTTACAGCTCCTTCTCAGAAATATTCTTTGGGCCACATACTTCTAGGATTTATTTGTGCCAGTCGACTAGGTAGAGGAGGGGCCTATGTAAATATTTTAGCCCAGAAGATTTGATATGCTTAATTTTTAATGGATATGAATTTATTTTTGGAGAAAACATTGGTGGTCCAGTACCATATTTACCCTTTCTCAAATTCTTTTCCCAAATTGGCTACCACAGAATTTTCTGATTCTTACTAATCCTCAGTCTCCCATCCCTTCAATAAGTACCTTAAGTAAGAAGTCAGAGAAGTTGGGGCACCTGGATAGCTCAGTGGGTTAAAGCCTCTGCCTTCAGCTCAGGTCATGATCTCAGGGTCCTGGGATCGAGCCCCACATGGGGCTCTCTGCTCAGCGGGGAGCCTGCTTCCTCCTCTCTCTCTGCCTGCCTCTCTGCCTACTTGTGATATCTGTGTGTCAAATAAATAAATAAAATCTTTAAAAAAAAAAAAAGAAGTCAGAGAAGTTTCCATAGATCAGACTGTAAGTGTGCCCAGCTCCCTGCTGAATCCTGTCTGCCACTTTGCAGTGCCTTCCACTAAAGGTTCATTCTCAGCCCCTGTGTCAGCGCTGTTTCCATCCCTCTGCACCCTTCTCAGTTCACACCCTAGCTCTTCATTAGGCCTTTCCAGACCATTAATGCCTATTTTCTTCTCTTCCTCTTCTTAGTGCATTCCAGTTATAATTTAATGCTAGATGCATTTATATTCACTGCCTTACCTTGATTTGTAATTATTTTAAATGCAACTCTTACCTTTCTTATCTCCCCGTTTGGATATAAACTCATCAGACTGAGATAGGCTATACATTCATATCACAGCTTCTGCACAAGGAGAAGCACACCCAGTCCATACTTGTTGAGTGGTTGATTTATATAACCATACCAAGGAAGTAGGAACTTCAGTGCTACATACACCTTTAACAATGGGGATCCAAGGAAGAAAATCAGCAACACTTAGGCACTGGACCAAGAAACCATTTGATATAAAAAGTAACCTAAGCAAAAGCTCTGGAACTATAAGCGCAGAGAGCACAGGGGCAAGTCCACCTTATTGAGCCCAGCCATACCAGAACCTGGCCCTGTGCTGGGTCTTGGTCAGTGCTCAATCAAGGGCATGAATGCAAGAATGAACACAGCCTTTCACATTTAGCACCATGTTAAAACTCTTCAAAAATATTTGGGTATTGATTTCATTGTATGTCAACACTTTTCTTTAATGCTCTTTCTTTAGTATTATATAATAAAATCAATTTTTATACTCTCTATTAAATTTAAATACAGAATCCACAACCAACGTGGAAAATCCTCCACATTATGGTCCCAATTTACCTGTATAATTTTATTTCCCTCTCCCCTGCCTCATCTAATTTGTACTTCGCCCCAGGTGAACTAAACTACTCTTTATTCTCAAAAAATATCCCCTAAGAGACACACACACATCACACACACACGTTCTTTTCCACCTTTGGCCCTATGCTCATGCCTGTCTATATACATGGAATGCCCACACTCTGGACTTTTCTCATGTCTTGTAGTGATTAGATTCAGATAATGTATCCCTGACCAGATTCACTGGCCTGTGACCTCAGGGAATCACATCCAGAAGCCCCTGGTAATATTGATTTTGATCACCCAGTCAAGATGTTGTAGTTCTCTAATAACTACTTACTTTTTCCCCCTTCAACAAGGCATCTCTGGAAAGATGCCTGGAGATCATACAAATATCCTTCTCATCACCCTCCTCGCCAGCTTAGATTTAGTACCCATTGTTGATCCACACCAAACCAGTTTTACCATGTGGCTTCAAAAACGTGGTATTTCCACTCTATCTTTCCCTCCACATTTAATCAGTTGGCGTTCTTTTGTAAGGAAGATCTTCCCTCCTCCTCCACTTTTTTTTTTTTTTTAAGATTTTATTTATTTGACAGACAGAGATCACAGGTAGACAGAGAGGCAGGCAGAGAGAGGAAGGGAAGCAGGCTCCCTGCTGAGCAGAGAGCCCTACGCGACTGCGGGGCTGGATCCCAGGACCCCGGGATCATGACCTGAGCCGAAGGCAGAGGCTTTAACCCACTGAGCCACCCAGGTGCCCCACTCCTCCACTTTTTTATCTATCATCAGCGTGGACTCAGAGACTCCTAATTTATTTGATGAGTTATAATCCATTATTGTCCGTATCTGTTTTTATTCTCACATTATCTCAGATTTAGCCATAGGTGCCCCTCCGAGCTGGGTCCTTTAGCCTATCGACATTCCCCACACCCCTTCACCATCCCGCACCCTGCTTCTTCTTTGACCACGTCTTTATTGATGAAACAACTAGATGTTCCAGATTCATCTTGTATCTTCCCTGCCTTGAAATACCTTGGGATCGGGGCACCTGGGTGGCTCAGTGGGTTAAAGCCTCTGCCTTCGGCTCAGGTCATGATCCCAGGGTCCTGGGATCAAGCCCCGCACAGGGCTCTCTGCTCAGCGGGGAGCCTGCTTCCTCCTCTCTCTGCCTGCCTCTCTGCCTACTTGGTGATCTCTGTCTGTCAAATAAATAGATAAAATCTTTAAAAAAAAAAAAAAAGAAAGAAAGAAATACCTTGGGATCAGCGATTTCTCCAAGGAATCCTGGATCCTTTCAGTGAAGAGTGGTGTTTAGAAACCAAGGCCCTGGCAAGAGATCATATGCCTTTATTACTAAGTTAGATTGCCTCTCCTAAGCAGGTGTTAGTTACTACTTAGAAATCACTCGAAGCATTGACTGCTGTCAAAGGTTTATTTACAAATAGAACACAAAAGGGGCGCCTGGGTGGCTCAGTGGGTTAAAGCCTCTGCTTCGGCTCAAGGGTCCTGGGATTGAGCCCTGAATTAGCTCTCTGCTCAGTGGGGAGCCTGCTTCCTTCTTTCTCTCTCTGCCTGCCTCTCTGCCACTTGTGATCTCTGTCAAATAAATAAATAATCTTTAAAAAAAAAAATCTTTAGATAATCTTAAAAAAAAAATAGAACACAAAAGTCTGCAATTTTATCAAATTATTTCTTTTACATCTTTTATATGCTGAATAGCACATAGTAAGCCTTGTTTTTTATTTTCTTATCTTTGGGATGTTGAAGTGATCCTTCAATCCTTCATAGAATTATCAAGGTACCAGCAGAGACTTGTAAGTCTCTCTAGAGTGAATTGTAGGGATGCCTTCCTCCACAAAGTAGCAAAAGATGACAGCTTTAAATGTACACTACTTTTATTATGATGTTATTATTTCTTAATTCTAGTTTAGTTGTTTAGTTATCTCCTTATTTCCATAATCATAACTGTTAATTAGAGCAATGTATGGGTTAAAGCTGAGTTCACATATCAGCTACATTATATGTATTTAAATAGCTCTTAAAAGTATCTGCAGGGGCCTCTGGCTGGCTCAGTAGAGCATGTGACTCTTGATCTCATGGTGGTAAGTTCAAGCTCCTTGATGGGTGTAGAGCTTACTTTAAAAAAATTTAGAAATGGGGTACCTGGCTGGCTTAGTCAGTAGAGCATTCAATTCTTGTTCTTGGGGTCATGAGTTCAAGCACCACATAGGGCATAGAGCTTACATAAATTAATAAATAAATAAATAAATATTAAAAGTATCTGCATAATAGTGAATTCCACAGGGTACTATGTAAATTTATATTGACAATAATATTGAGATTGAGGTTAGAAATACAATATTTTCTGAGATTAGGAATAGAAGGAAATAGTATATCTAAA